AATAAGCAGTCATCATCGCCTTGCGCCGGGCGGTCAAGCGCCACCGGGAGAGGCGGGAGCGGCAGAGGCGGGTCTTCAGGATGTCCCTGCTGATCGTCTCCACCTTCCTGCTGTGCTGGACGCCCATCACCGTGCTCAACGCGCTCATCCTCAGCCTGGGCCCCAGCGACCCCATGGTCAAGTTGAGACTGGGCTTCCTGGTCATGGCCTACGGCACCACCGTCTTCCACCCGCTGCTCTACGCCTTCACCAGGCAGAAGTTCCAGAAAGTCCTCAAGAGCAAGATGAAGAAGAGGGTGGTGTCCATCGTGGAGGCCGATCCCACCCCCGACAACGCCGTCATCCGCAACTCCTGGATCGACCCCGCGAGGAACAAAAAGGTGACCTTTCGGGACAAGGACGCCCGGCGGAAATGTCCGCCGTCCGACGACGCCGACTGAAAAGGAGGCGCCGGGAGCCAAAGGCGCCGCTTCACGGGGGGGGGGGGACCGTCTGTCCGAAGCCAGCGCTTTGGAAGTCACGTGTGCAACGCGACCTTCGGTGACTATTTATTGACGAGTGACGTACGCCAGACTGTACTGTAGCTATTGCATGGCTTCTTGTCACTTTGTGTCCAGACGTGATACGTGTACAACTTAGCCAAGGAAGTAGGCATCGCGTGGATGGATATTCCTCAACATAAATTGGCTCTCTACTCACCGAAAGCGCGAGAACGTTTTTTGTCTCTCCCACACCCCCACCACCAACCTCCAAGTCAAGCATTTGTGACTCTGCGACAGCCGCGAGATCGCAGTCGGCCTCTCCCTCGCCGGGCCGCGGCGAGACCCTCGCGCCGCCCGCGGGCACCGCTGACCCGCTTGTCCTCTGAGCGAGGGCGGAGGGCGGGCCCACGCGCCAATGAAAGAATGAAAGCCAAGCGAGGAAGACGTAGAGCGTGCCGCAACTCGGACTCCTCTGTGGAAACTGCTCCGCGGTCTCGCGGCGAGACGTCTTCCGTTGCGCTCGCCAGACATGACGGGACACCGAAATTCTTTTTTGAAACGGAAGTCGCAAAATCTTTCCCGAAAGAAAGCTCCAATGTATTGATTTGACAATTTCCATGAGTACCCGGGTCTCAACACCCCGGAACGACCCGCTTGACTAATCGGCGTGGCGCGCGGACAGAGCCGAGAATCACTTTTTATGGTCTCCGCAAAGTGAAAATGATGACGGTTGGCAAATCTGACTCAGCGCAGGAAGAGCGTTATTCACAGCGCTGCCCGATTCGAACGTTCACACTAAATGGAACGATGACAAATCAGGCAAAATGGAAGCCGTTCTCGAACGCCGTGGCCGTCGGGTATGTCCATGATCAATCAATCAAATGGCAGTTGGAGGACCCGGAGAAATGCGTGCCACGTCATTCATGACTCGACACCCTCCAACCGCAAAACAAGATGCGCTTCAAAGCCTGCGCTGGGCGCGACGTCTCCCAAGGCGAGCGCGGCAACGAGGTGCTCCCAAGCAAGCGCCGCGTTGCCGCCGAGCCCTTTGGGCATTTTCATTTTCGCCTTTCTCTCCAAGATGTGCATGCACTCGCGGCCGACAACGAGGCGCTCCAAAAGAACTCCTCCGCAAATGGGCACGCGATGCTTCTCGAACGGCGGTCGGCTGACCGACTGATCAGCAAAGGGGGCCTGTAAAACGTTCGTTCCAAAGAGAGGGAGCGGCAACGGAGAAGGTTCCATACCCTCCGAGCTTCCTCTTAGTCCTCGCCACCTCCAACGGTGTCTGGTCTGCAGACCAGTGACACGGAGCTCAGGTGGAGCAAAGCCATTTCAAGATTTGAAAACAAATCATCAGATCTTTGAAAGAACTCTAAAATGAGCCAGTGAAGGAATGCCAAAGTTGGAGTGATGGGCTCCCTCCTACGAGTGCCAGTTAGGAGGCGAGCAGCGGCATTTTGGACCAACTGGAGACGCTTCATGGAGGATTGGCTGACTCCAAACTCAAGGGCATGACAGTAATCCAGCCAAGATGTGACAAAGGCATTCATTACATTCAACAGAGAGAGAGAGAGAGAGGGACAGAGAGTGTGTGTGTGTGTGTGTGTGTGTGTGTGTGCGTGCGCGTGTGTGAGTTCCAAACGTGAAGCAAGTGACTGGCTCCACAGAAACTTGCATCATTCAGATCCCCAGTAGGCTACCAGGAGGTCAAAAGTAAGTTCACTCATTATTTTTCCATACATTTGCTGATATTTTTAGGATATTCTCAGCACAGTCCTGTTCCATTGTCTTCTTGACATTCTTATCATTTTGTTGTTGTTTTGTGTTGAGCAACTGTAATGTGCTTCGCCACCATGCTCTTTGCCAAAATACCGCTGGGGTAAAAAAACAAACAAAAAAACCCACTCCTGTTTCTTTCAATCCTGTTACTCAAATGAGGAGTTTCAGTGTGCCTCGATGTGGTTAATACACATTTGAAGTCATTCAATCAATGTGTGTGATTTCAGAGTTTGAAAAAAAAAAAAAAAACACCTTTTGAGCCAATTTCAACAAGCACTCATGCGAGTTGATGTACAGGGAGGGGGAAAAAACACCGCCCTTTTTCATTGCACATTCTGTGCATTTGATTTATTTATTTATTTGGTTATTTGAGGGGGGGGGTGCTCCCTCACGGTCAGCTAGCTCATTTAACAAAAGAAGGAGTGAGGCCATCAGCACCGACTGCACTTGACGTTTACACCGCATGTGGTGATGGATGGATGGATGGATGGATGGATGGATGGATGGATGGATGGATGGATGGATGGATGGATGGATGGACGTCCTACTCACAAGTGACTGCGAAGGCCACGACACATTCGATTGACACGGCAACACTGACATCTGGCTGAAATGTGATTGGACAACAACAACAAAAGCAAAAAAAGCTAACAAACATCCACCTTCACATATATCGTCCACGTTTCGGTCGTTTTCGAGGATTTGTTTCATGACGAGTATCCGGAGAATATTGAAGCGCGTTCCTTTTCCGAGCTTGCTTGGCAACCAACGGCTCATGTTTGCGCACACGTGCCAGAAGTTGGCTCCCTCTGGTGGTCGTTCGGGTCTCTGACGAGATATCTTCCGCCAGCTTTGTGTTTGACAGAAACGCGGATAAGATGGACCGCGGCAGTTTGGACGAAGAAAAATATTCTGTGCAAGTTTCATTGTTAGTCTGCCTGCCCTCATCAACATCATCACTGATGATGATGATCCACTCAAAGTAAACGTGACTTGACTTGAAAGTAGGCTTAGGCAAGCAAGAGAAGAAGCTTTTATTTTTTTTCCTTTCAAATTTGAACATAGGTTCTCAAACGGGGGTCTCCGGACCACCAGGTGTCTGCGAGCCGTAAGTAAGCGTCAATAAACTAGTCAATAAAGGTCGGGTGTGTGAAATGTACTGCCATCTAGTGGTGAGCTAATAGGATGCAACGACCTCGAAGCGCGTGCGTTTTCAAGCACGCGCACGACGTTGCCTCAAACGGACCATACTTCGCGCGCCTCCCATCAACTGCTTCAGCGGAGGTGCATACACAATAGGAGCCCAAGCGACTTCTTATCTGTCCGTCGGGTGACCGAGTTAGTGCATGCCATTTTTTTCCCCACATGCTGTAGGTTAATACTGAGCAACTTCATTCGCTAAAATTCGTCCCCGTCGGGTATCCGTAGCAGAAAGATGGCAGCAAAATATGACCGACGGCTGTTGGGGAGGCCAGCCCAATGAAATATAATTAGCCACTACTTCAGATACAATTACATTGAAAAATTAGGGTGATGTGATAGAACATATTTTTTGCAAAGAATTGAAATTAATATTTTTTGAATAGTGAACACTGAGAGAGAGAGAGAGAGAGAGAGAGAGAGGGGGCGGGTGTATCTCTTAATTTGTCCGCGAAGCCCCTCCTCTCACCGACGTGGCAGGCAGCACCGTGTGGAGTCTCTTCGATGTGGGGAATCGTCCCGAGACAAAAATCCCCTGGACTCAACAAAACGCTTTCACTCATCTTTGCCCTTCCCAACTCCGATCCCCAAACATAGCTCAAGTCAGCTCAGGCTAACGCGCTGACCTTTATTTTGAATTGTAAAAGATGACTTTCGGAACCAGGATTAAAAGCTTCCGGCGTGAGCAACGACGTGTGAGGGAGACTTAGCCGCCATCTTGAACCGGGAGCGCTGGCCTTTTCTTTCATTCACTTGTCTCGAGGTCACTGTGTTCAGCGACAATTAATTCAGCATAATTCGTCGAATTGACACCGATTGTTGATTCGTTAGATCGTCACATCAGACACGTAGTTATGATACCCAGACACGTGGGTAATTTTACCCTTGGGGCTTTTGTAACATGCAAACACAATTCCAAAGTTAGGACCTTGTTTTTAACATAAATAAAACCATATAATGATTTGAAAATCATGTTCACCCATACAAAACAATCATGAACTCCGAATTTTACGCCTGCAACACGTATACCTATCTATCGATTGATCTATCTCTCTATTTCTCTATCTATCAGCAAGCTGTGCAAATGACGAATGAATATTAGTATAGAATATAACAATGTATTTAATATGAATCTTGATATCAGTTTCCACTCAGTGATGACGTGGACGTGGGTGTGAACGGTTGTCTCTACATGTGCCCTGCGACTGGCTGGGGACCATTTCAGGGTGTTGTCTGCCTTCCGCCCGAAGTCAGCTGGGATAGGTGTCCCAGCAACTCCCCGTGACCCTGTTCAGGATAAGCGGTGTTGAAAAAATAAATGGATATTAATATTGACACGTCTGGATGGGTTTTCCAACTGACGATTAAAAGAAATTGTGAAGAAACATTTTTAATGCACGCATTTTTGTTTTGTATTGTAGCCACATGCGTGGGGTTGTCGTCAAAACAAACCGCGTGAAACTCCACGAGTTGTGACTTTTTTTTCAGATTTCAGTCTGCTTCCGCTCAAAGTGAAAGAAATACATGAAGCGGAGGAGCGGGACCGTTGCCGGTCCCCCGGTTCAAGATGGCGGCCACCGCGTACGTCGCGATCGGCGAAGCGCGCATGCGCTCTCGAACAGAGGCGGGGCGACGGGCGGCGCTCGTCCAGCCGCTCGGGTGCTGCTATAAGCTCTCGGTGAGACGCCGCGCGCCCTCCTTCCTCTTCGCTCGGAGTTTCGTGGCGCGTCGAGTCCTCATCATATTCACGGGAGACATGGCCGGCTATTTGAAAGTCTTCAGCTCTCTGTCGAGGTCCGCCGCCGCAGCCTTTTCCAGACACCCCGCGGTGCTCGCCCCGGCTGCTCAGCGGCAGACTTCGCAACAAAGGAACTGTGAGTGAGCCGACCGACGGAGGGGCATCCTCCGAACGGGTTGCTCGTCGCCGGCGGGGCCCGCTTGGGCTCAGCGGCCATGCTAGCCGGGCTCGCGCGCGATTCCGTCGCGTTTACGTTGTTGTTTCGACGCCATCGGCGTTTTGAATTCGAACGGGTGCCGTTGAACGAGTCGCTTCGACTCCAAGTGGGTGGTTGGCATCGAGGGCCGACGGGAGCCGGTAGCCCGTCTTTGTCTTCTCCATTCAAAGTTTGTGCAACTTGCCAATGTAATTAGACGCGGAAGGGGGGGGGGTGGTGCGCAAAATGCCGTCGGGCTGTAACGTAACCAGCGCCCGCTTGCCTTGAAGAAGGCATTACGTAGCCTACCGGCACCCTTGAAATGATTGGACCATCTGTTCAAATGACTAACGAGCTTTTAATCGTGGCCGACAAGTCAAACGGCGTGATGAATGATCCGATCGCGTGGCCTTAAATGCACCGTCATCCCTGTCAGATGGATGAGTTTTGGTGCAAAGTTTGGTCCAAGGTCAGGCGGCGCGGACGAGGCTCCTTCGCGGTCAGAAATGGCCGCCGGTGTCCTCTGTCGCGTTTTCCAAACGCGCTCCTCGCCATCGCGTCTCATCTCGCTTCATTTTCAAGCGAACGCAAAAAAGAGCGAGGAAACCGTGCGTGCGATTCCGCACACCGCGTGAATGCAAATCGGCCGCTGACGTCATATTTACATCCTATTTTTAGTCGTCTGGAAACCGCATCCTAATTTCGTCGATCCGCCCATTGCGACGATCGTGAAATGTTTGTCCGTTGTATTGTACCGCGTCCGCTCGGAGACGGCGTCGTTGTCAGCTGACCTCTGCAGGCTACTCTAAATTCCCTGAGCAGAAAACGCAGCCCGGGCTGTTCAAGTAAAGGAGTCACTTGAAGGACTCGAGGCTGTTTGTCGCTGTCCAATCGCATGCCAATTGAAAAAAAAAAGATTTGCTCACGCCAGAGCCCGTTTGACATCTGCCGCCCCCTTCCAAAAGCCTCGAAAACAAGGAAAGCGCCAGGAAAGCGCCGGTGCACGACATGCGGCCTCTTGGGACAGTTGATCCTGCCGCCGACGTGACCCGCCTTTACAAAGACGCTCCTGCTCAATGTACTTTCCGTTTGTGTCAGGTGAACTGGAAAGGGCATTTGAGGTGACCGAGGGCGTCTTAACCCTTTCGGACACGGGCCCGATTGAATTTCTTGGTCCGTGTCGATGGTATGGTGTGAACCGAAAGAAAGAAAGAAAGAAAGGGAGACGCTTCTGAAGCGCGCTCCCTTTTTCGAAATCTTAGCTGCAGGTGGTTGCGGTGGCTAGCGGGCCCGCATGACTTTGTAGCGGGCCCGCGTGACTTTGTAGCGCGCCCTTCAGAGCCCGCTGTGTTGATCCATCCCCAGTTACGTAACATCTTCCGCCCCCCGCCCCCCTCCTCCGCATTGTGATGACAGCTGTAGCGGCTTTCCCCCGGTCCCGGCGAGGGTGGTCGGCCCGGGCCTGGGGCAGTTCGAATTTGGTTTGGCTCAGGATGCGCTGCACCAGACGCGCAGTGCCGCCGAGGCGGGAGATGGCGTGCGGGTTATTTGCAGCTCGTTTTGAAAATGCGGACGGTCGGGGTTTGTTTGGTCATTCGGCGCTGGCTCGGTCGGTCTTGACAGGAGTTGACCAAACGTGAGCTTGGCTCGCTCCTAATAGGGAACCGGACTCGATTTGAGGACGCCGTAGTTGAACGTGATGCTGACAAAGCAGATTTCGTGAAAGGGGAAGAAGAAGAAGAGCCCGAATGGGTTGAGGGCGGGAAATGACCTAGCCTGCTTTGGCTTGAGAAGCTTTGGATTTAGTCACATGTTCACCGGGACCGATTGTGTTGGGATTTTAGGCCGGGGCAGCATTTTGGCTCATTTTCGGGTGGATGGGGTCAGGCGGATGCGTGCTGAACTTGACAAACGGTCAATTAAAAAAAAAAAAAAGAAATCCAAATTCTTTTTGCCTCTTGATGCACAGCTCGGCCGCTGCGGCAGAGGAGATGTCGATTCTGTCAAACGGCAAATCAAAGCGAGCCCTTCTCGTGAGAGAAGCCAAGTCGCTGCGACCGATTTCTCAGTCCTGTGATGTCAAGTTCTTGATTCTGCACGCCAACGTTTCCAGTCTTTGCTTGCAAGTTTATTTTGGGGTCGTCCGCTGACCTTTGCGTGTCTGGCTGGCATGTTGGCGGCCCGGCGGCTGTTTGGACAGGCGTTCCCATGGCCGCCAGTGGGTCAGATGTCTCTCTGCAAAGCGGCGGCGGCAAGAAAAGTCTCTCCATCTCCCGCTTCTTTGGAAATTCACCGAAGGGCTTCTGCCGGCTGAACTGCCGCAATGACGGGGAGATGGACGGCGCTCGGTCGTCGTGCCGTGCCGTGGGGTGGGGGGAAATGTTCACATTTGTCTCGGCATACGTGGAAAGACCCGTTTCTTATTTCGCATGCAAATGACGTGGAGCCGCGGTGTCTGCGCAGGCGTGAAGCCAACTGGAAGTTGACAAAAAGAGGCTCGGCCACGCCGCTGCCACCGAACCCTCCAAATTGTCCCTGGCGTCATCTCGGGCACCGTACGAGATGCCGACCCATGTCCTGAGCCTTGAGCTCAGTGACCGCCCGGAGTAGGGACGGAAGCGTGAGTCGATCGACTAGAAAAGCCAGTCCGTTGAAACGCCGTCTCCACGCTGCGCGGTGCTCACCTTTCTCCGCGCGCGAACGCGGCGGCGCGCGAACGCGGCGGCGCGCGAACGCGGCGGCGCACTCGCGCACCGCTTGGGGTGGAAGTGAGTCGGCGCGCTGGGCGAGGCCACGTCCAAACGGGCGCCCGCGTCACCGCCGCCGAGGCCGAAGGAACGAACGTACCTTTGACCGTGGGATCGCCAACGCGAGCTCTTCACGTTAGCTCATTTCGTAGAGCCCAGCAGTGCTCACGCATCCTCAGGTGCCCCCAAGCGCTCGGCGGAACTCGCTTCATTCAACAAAGGAGAGCAAAACGACCACGCGAGATGCCCGTTCAGACGCCAGCCGCAGCGGCCGCGACGGGACAAACGGTCAATTATCGATGAGCGGGCCGGCTAACTGTTGGCGGCCGGCCGCTAACCTGAGCTCACGCCTCTGCGGGGGCCGGCTCCCGCGTCACTCGCCGGGCCCTGTCCTGCCCCGAATCCCTTTTGAAGCCAAATGCGCCCAAAGGTCACGGACGTCGTGTGCGACGTGAGGACGGCGAGTCCAAGCGGACGACGGCCACGCGGCCTCCGCCTCACGTGCACTCCTTGTGTTTTGATCTGGATTCGCTGAGGCGGCGCCATCATCGACTGTGCCGCCGCAGTCCGGAGGTTCAGCCGCCCGGGGGTGCGCTTGGCTTCTTTTGACAGCCGCGTGACCGTTTGAAAAGGCGATTTGTACTGCGGGCCGACGACCGCCTCCTATTTTCGTTCTTTCCGGGGTTTGGGGACCTGTGTTCCGTTTTTGTGGATTCCACTCTGCCATCGCCGTGTTTCTTTTCGTTTCTGCCGGAATCCGCCGCGGCGCGGCTTTGCGCTAACAAGATTACCGCCAAGGAGAAGGTGAGCTCGTCACTCGCGTCCGTGGATTTGTTAGGCTGTCTGCTGGCAGGATTAGCGCGGGACAAACAAATGCGAGCGTCGCCGGAGTGCGCTCGCTTGTTTCTTTGACCGTCCCGCTCGAGCCGGCCGGCACTCTGAATCCGCCGCTGTGATCGACAGATGGCGACAAGCGCATCCAAGTGGCCCAGCCCGTGGTGGAGATGGACGGCGATGAAATGACCAGGATCATCTGGGAGTTCATCAAGGAAAAGGTGAGCGGCGTTCCTCGGAAGCCGGCGGGCGGCGAGCTCGTCCCGAACGGGAGGGGCGGGGCTTGGGCGCTCATTCGTTTCGAAACTTTGCAGGTTGCCGTGGATGGCGCCGGAGCGCCCGCGCAGCGTTTTCTCGCGTCGCCGCCGACCTGAAAAAAAGGCGCCCGGCCGGCGAGAAACGTGGCTCTCTTTGCGCCTCGCGTTTCGGCCGGCTGGGAGAGGTTTGACTTTGCTCCGTGTGCTCCGTCCGTCCGTCGCAGCTCATCCTGTCCAACGTGAACGTGGAGCTCAAGTACTTTGACCTGGGGCTGCCCTACCGAGACCAGACCGACGACCAGGTCACCATCGACTCCGCCCTGGCCACCAAGAAGTACAGCGTGGCCGTCAAGTGCGCCACCATCACGCCCGACGAAGCCAGAGTGGAAGGTTTGTGAGAAGCGTTCGAGGCTTCAAAAGTTGAAACGACCCCAAATCAACACTCGTTTTGTTTTCCATTCCGTGTTAGCACCAAGCTAGCGGACTCTGTCAGGGAGCCTCGACACGCGGCCATTGATGTTGAATTTGACTGTAAACTTGAGGCGGGCGTGGCAAGCGGCAGCGTTGCTTCTTTTTTTTCGGAAGGATCATTTGCGTTCCGCCCAACTGCCGCTTGTTTTCAAGTATGCTGCCGCCTCACGTTGTTGCGCGCAACTCGCGACAAAAACGGGCGCCGCCGTCAACTCGTCTCGAGTGTATTTCCGGAGCATTTGAAAACCAAGCGGCGCTGTCCGAAAAGAATTCATCCAGCAAAACAAGACATGGGAGTGCCAGTCAGAAGGCGAGCGGCGGCATGTTGGACCAACTGGGATGACTCCAAACCCGATCAGTGTCATGAAACGTCCTCAGAACTGCATTCGCCTCGCTCCTAAACGCCGTACCTCAAAATAATCGAAATCCTTTTGAAAAACGGTCGGGTGAGCCGCCGGGGCCGGCCTCCGTTTGAGGAAATGACGGTGGGCCATTTGCGCCTCCGGTATTGCGCCGGTATCAATTGGACGGCGTGGGCCCGAGCGCGCGTTGTACCCATGAGAGTTTCCCCCCCGGCAGAATTTGGCCTGAAGAAGATGTGGAAGAGCCCCAACGGAACCATCCGCAACATCCTGGGCGGCACGGTGTTCCGCGAGCCCATCATCTGCAAGAACATCCCCAGGCTGGTCCCCGGCTGGACGCGGCCCATCACCATCGGCAGGCACGCCTTTGGCGACCAGGTGACTCCCCGCCGCCGTCGTCGGCGCCGAGGCCAAGTGCCAACGGCAGGCTTTTGTGCTCCAGTACAGAGCCACCGACTTCGTGGTGGACCGGCCCGGCAAGTTCAAGATGGTCTTCTCGCCCGCCGACGGCGGCGCGGCCAAGGAATGGGAGGTGTACGACTTCCCCGCCGGCGGCTGCGGGATGGGCATGTACAACACGGACGAGGTGAGAAAAGCCACGGGCGGGGAGGCCCTCGCCCGGAGCCCAAACGCTTCCTTTCCCTTTCCTGCCCGACGAGCGTTTCCTTTTGGGGACGGGTCGCGAGCGCGGCGGCCGCTTCCCTTCCCTTCCCTTCCCTTTACTTTCTGTCGCCGGCGCTCCGTTTGCTTCGACGGCATCAGAGGTCGGCCGAGAGAGCTCTGCCGCTCTCGGCCGCTTTTGGTCGTTCACCTCGGGAACTGATAAAAAAGCGGCGCGGCCCGACGGCTGATGGCTCCTTTGTCTTTGCTCTTTCTCTTTCTCCTCAGTCCATAACCGGCTTTGCACACAGTTGCTTCCAGTACGCCATTAACAAGAAGTGGCCTCTATACATGAGCACAAAGAACACCATTCTTAAAGCGTACGACGGCCGATTTAAAGACATCTTCGAGGACATCTTTCAAAAGTGAGTGTGAGCGCAACGCGCGGATGGGACGCCGGCCGCCGAGAAAGACGACGGAATCGCCGCGGTCGGCGCCGGATCGGTCAAAGCGCAAATGTTTTGCTCGGCGTCGCGGCGCACGTTGCGCCGTTTTGATCCTCACCGCGGCTTTAAGAGATCGTCGTCGTACGGCGGATGGACCCGGGTTCCGTTCTGAATGCCAATTCCGGTCCCGTTCCGAGAGACTCCGCCGCATTGTGTGGACATTTTACTTTCATCCGCGCGTCGGAGAAGAAGCCGAAAGCCGTCCTCCTTGTGAATGTGCGTGCGTGTGTCTCCCCCCCTTCCGAAGGCACTACAAGCCCGAATTTGACAAACTGAAGATCTGGTACGAGCACAGGCTGATCGACGACATGGTCGCCCAAGTGCTGAAGTCTTCCGGAGCCTTTGTGTGGGCGTGCAAGAACTACGACGGCGACGTTCAGTCGGACATCCTCGCCCAAGGTCCGATGCACGCCTGTCTTTTGCCGCCCGCCCGCTCGGGGAGCGATCTGACGTGACCTCTCCGTCCGTCAGGTTTCGGCTCTCTGGGCCTCATGACGTCCGTGCTGGTGTGTCCCGACGGCAAGACCATCGAGGCGGAGGCCGCCCACGGCACCGTGACCCGGCACTATCGCGAGCACCAAAAGGTTCTTTTTGGCCTCTCCTGCCCGCGGCGACGTCGCGGCGCTGAATTTTCCGCCGCCGATCCCCGTTGATTTCCAAGATGGATTCGCGACGCTCGATTTGGCCCGCGCGATGCCGACGTAGGTTTTGGCGAGACGCACGAGGGCGTCCGAAGTCTGAACGGAATCCTCGCCATTGGTTTTCAGGGAAGGCCGACGAGCACCAACCCCATCGCCAGCATCTTCGCCTGGACCAGAGGCCTGGAGCACCGAGGGAAACTGGACGGAAACCCCGACCTCATCAAGTAAGACACGCCGCCTCTTTTCGGGTTTCCGTGGAAATGACCGTGCGCTTGTGCGTGCTCAGGTTCTCCCAGACCTTGGAGCGCGTGTGCGTGGAGACGGTGGAGAGCGGCACCATGACCAAGGATCTCGCCGGCTGCATCCATGGCTTGTCCAAGTAAGCGAGCGCCTCTTTCGGGATTCCGACTGGGGTTTGGGAAAAATTGCCCCCCCCCGTTCCATGATTGCGCCGCGTTTGGTCGGCTCACATTGAGGCCGTCCTCCGTCCCTTCCCTCCCCGCAGCGTCAAGCTGAACGAGCACTACGTCAACACCACGGACTTCCTGGACGCCATCAAGACCAATTTGGAGAAGGCTCTGGGCAAGTGAAGGACTCGAGCGAACGCGGAGACGGACGGCGTCGGCGCTCTGCTGTTTTTGTACCTCATTTTTAACTTCTAGGTCAACCAATTCACAGGCATTTTCACCTGAAGGATTTGCGTGCTCCTCGAGGGCTCGCGACACGGTGCGGAATCGCCCTCGCGCTTCCCGCCTCCCCGACACCCGTCCCTCGTCTTGCAAGGTTTTATTTTTGTAATGTGAAGTACTGTGTTCCATGCTGTGTCATGCCTGAGCCAAGACTTAGCTGCAATAAAAACCCTCTGTTTGACCCAGCCCGCATCTTGCCAGGTCTTTGAAAGCGAGACGCCGCTGCCTCCCCGGATCACCCCACCCCCCATTTTTCTTTTTTTTAATGGCTAGCCCTCTCGATCATACGGCGCCCTGAAACGTATCCGAGGTACATCATGACATCGATGTAAGGATGGAACGTGTTGATCGTGTGCCACCTCCGGGAGTGGGACACGGCGTGTCTTGGCCACGTGGGGGCAGTCGAGGACCGACAGGCGGCCTTGCAAACCGATTGGCGAAGCCCCTCCGTCCTTCAAATTGGTCGCTTGGCGCCAAAGAGAAAGGAAAGCCGTCACTTCCCTTGACTGTCCACGTGTCTTGCTCGACGGCACCAAAGGCCAACTGGCGCTCGCTCAAAGTGGCCTCTTGATGAAAGGCAAAAACAAAAGAAACCGTGAAACGTCCCGCTCATTTATGACCGGGAAAACGGTGACAAAATGACATTTGAAATTGCGTTTTGGACATGCGCGTAGCTCGGAAGTGTGTGGCACAACCGTGGCCGCCTCCGGCGTTGAGCCGGACCGATTGGTGTTCAAACGTCCGTTGACTCGGGTGCCAAACGTCGGCCTGGGTCGGGCGCTTGGTATTTTTGGTGAGAAGCGGAAGCCATACGGTTGTTTTCAAGAGACGATGTTTGAAATCTTGCTTTGGTGATTAGTTTGACCGAAGCTCATACTCGGAGTGGCAAGGCTCTTTTTTTTGTTTGTTTGTTTGTTTGTTTTCAAAGAATGGGTCATAGTTCACCCTGAGAAAATCAATGAACAGAGACCACCGATTAATAGCGTTTTTATTTTGAGTGATGCACAGTACACATATAAACCGTGTTTGTTTGTTTTGGGGGGGTGCAGTGGGGGGG